GTGAAGAAGAAGAAAAAGAAAAAAAGTGAAGTACCTATAAAACCAAGGAAAAAACAGCTAAGTGCTGAAACTACCAGGGTAAGAAGTAGAAGATTTTTAACATTATAGAGCAAGTAGTGGCAAAAACTGGTCACAGAGAACATACAGGTATCAACAGCAAACATCACTCCAACCTGTCTGTGTCATGAACAGGATGATTTCCATTATTTAGCAGAGGATACAAGAGAGAATCACTCCCAAACTGGAGAAGAAAAATCAGTCCCATCCTGTAACAGCATCCAGTATGTCCCCTTTTCCAGGGAAATATCTAAACTAGTTGTGGAAAGATGAGACAAAGGACTGCCTATTAGTCCTCCAAGAACGATGCAAGAACTTCAAAAACCAATTTACTACACCTGTGTAAGAAAAGATGTGAAAAATATATGCCCAAATAGTGCACATCTTCAAGATTTAGCTACTTTACTTGTGAACTGTTAAAAGGCAGTTCCCTCCCCGTAGGATTCACATTTGGTTGTTTGCTGGACCTTCTTAAAATGAAGAAGGGAATCTACCCCTTTCCTTCCAAGAATTCTGGGCCCAGCAACACATCAAATCATGACTAAGCATCTCTAGGTAGATTGTCCATTATCCCTGAATCACGCTCATTGACTGCACTGCACTTATCATAGAATAATTCATCTTAGCCAATGAGAAAAAAAAGTCATGAAAGTACAATACATTCACCAAGAGATATTTTAATTCCATTCAGAAAGAACTAGTCTCCACTACAGCAATCACACCAACACACTCCAGTACTCTGTGAAATGTAGTGCACCTGACCAGTATGACATTTTAATTCAACCCTTCTACCCTCAAGACATCTCCTAGGTTTTTGTGTGGAACATGATCCCTCTAGTTGTACCTCTGAATGTGCTCTGGATCAGGTCCCACAAGTAACACAAGCAGAGAAAAGACTGTTTTATTACTCTCAGTAGGGCTTAAGTGACAACTAGGCACCAGTTTTGTACTGTCAAGATCAAGATGCTGCTGGGAACACTTAAAACCAAAACTAAGTGCTTACAGACTTGCATTTATAAAGCTCTCAAAGAGAGCTACAAGGAGGATACAAAAACCTCAAGTGGTGACTGGGTGCCTACTTTTGCCATTTAGTCCCTTTATGACTCCAGCAAGCTCATACTCCTTCACCCTCCGTGTCTTAATATTAAGATAGATGCATGTTTTTCCAAAACATTTACATATTCTGATGAAAATCTTGAGAATTATCCAAAGCCAAAAAAAATTATCACAACTTATTTGCAAACCATGAGATTGAATAAATGAATTGGTTTGCTTTTGGCTTGTTTGCAGTGTTACTGCTGTACAACATTTCTCACATGGCTGCTTAAACTTTTTAACTTAAAAAAAATAAATCATCTTACAATTAAATCCACACTTGACATCATCACACACCTCTTGTTTAGCCAAGTCAACTGATTCATTTTGTAAACAAATTCCCCATCCTCAAGATGGGCATAGAACTCCCAAGAAAATATTTCAATAAATTATTTAATAGCAGAGTGATACTCGGACACCACAATGAAAAATAACCTGTGCTCAATAGTCAAGTAAATTAGGCTAGACAAAAATTTCCGATTTATACTGAGCAATCTTACAGGAAGGTTTAAAAAAAAACCCACAACCCAAACAAAAAAAAAAAAAAAAATAAAAAAACTCCAAAATTTCTTTAATAATAATAAAAAAATCATGTTTAGATTTCTTAAAAGGCAAGCATAATATGCAACTTGGAAGCAACATTTGTATTAAAACCTGGATATACTAAATCATAATTAATGAAAAAGCTCCCATGAACGTACCCTCAAATGAAATTTTCACCGACACCACAACCAGAAATGTTGATATGTTACAAACAAAAGGGGTGCAGGACCCCGAAAATAGAAATTTAACCAAAAAAGTTATAGAAGCTTTCAACTCTTGTGGGTTTCTTTGATAATTTTTTTTTACTATAAAATGCACAATTTTTATCATCATCAATTTTGCGTGATTGTGTAAGTACTCCCATATAATTTGATACAAGCTTCATTATAAGTTCTCTTGTGCAACCTTTTTATGCCTTCTGTTTCTGAGCAAATACTTTGTCTTTAATAACATAGGAATGATTTTTTTGAAGTCCTAAACAATGTAATACCAGGAAACAATATACAGATGTATAACTTCGGCCACAACACTGCAAACCCACAGGATGCTTATTTACCATATTTATAGACTTGCTTCAGACATACATTAAAAAAATAAAGGAAAAAAGAAAAAAATTATTTTCAGAAAGGGTATTATCACATGTATTTTAAGAATAAGCTTCCAAGAGGTATTGTTTTCTTCAAAGCACTGTGAACTGTTGGAACTGTATCATTTGGATGGCAACCTGCCTTACCACCCTTAACATCAGAGTGTGAAATTCTACCTGTTACTTCATTGCTAACATAAATATTGGATGCCGCACAATAGCTAGGCCCAATTTTTAAAGTACCAGGAACATTTAAACTATGGTAGACTTGCAGAAACCAATCCATGACTATTTCTGGTATGTTCATAACATGTCAATGACAGCAGGCCCAAACAAACTGTGTCCAAGTTTTATTTTCCTGTGAACAGGGTAAACCCACAAATCATACCCTATCAATACGCTGATGAGTAGAAACCAACTCATGCAAAGCCACATGAATACTACTCATTATTAACAAAAACATTAAGCACCCAGCATATACAGTAAAGGCTCAGTGATGGCTTTATTCAGGACCAGCAACAAGGGCTTAGGAAAAACATGGAATGCCATTAAGTAGTTTCAGTAAGAAGTACGTTTCATAATCAAACGTATTTAGCAACTCAGCACGTATATATATTTGATCAAGCAAGGTATTCTTTAATATCACTAGGCAGTACCCTCTGCCATGGCACTACACGAAGGAATCCACGACAGCGTCTTATCATGAACGTGTACTTAACAAGCCTCCCTCCCCCTTCCCCCACCTTAAACGCCGTGCACTATCAGTGCGGCTCTCCTGAAAACCTAAGAGAAAGACTTTCCTTAAGTAGCGACAAAAGCTGAGGATTTAGCAATTAATGGCCCATCCCCAGCCCTGATCCTCGCTTCAGCGTCAAGGAGGCGGCGGCCCAGGGCTCTCTTAGCCTCCCGTCGCACACCGGCGGCGCCAGGGCCTCCCCTTCCCACAATAGGGGGAAGGCCCAAGGCCTTCTCAGCCGCCGGGGCCCTCTCTCGTCTTCCCTCTCTCCCTCCTCACCGGGCCTCAAGCTCCTCCAGCCCTGGCGTGGCGGCTGCCCTCGGCTCCTCTTACCCCAGAGGCCCGGCTCCCTCCCCAGACACGGAGAGGACCCAGCCGAGGCCTCCACCCCTGCCCTACTCTTCCTCCTCCTCCTCCTCCTCCTCCTCCTCCTCTCCTTCCTGCCCCGGGGCCTCCGCTTTCCCTCAGAGCGGGGAGGAGGAGCCGCCACCGCCGCCGCCTCCTCCTCCTCCTCCCGTCCCAGGCCCCACTCCCTCCCCTGAGGCCCAGCGAGCACCCGGTACCTTGTAGAAGGCCCCGTTGGAGCCCCGCACCTCCACCACCAGCTCCTCCATGTTGTGCCGCGGCGCCTCGGTGCGGGAGACCCAGGCCCGGCGCCTCCTCCCTTCCCTTTCTCTCGGCGCAGGAGGGGGAAGAGCAGCAGGAGGAGGAGGGGTGTGTGTGCGGGCGGGTGAGGGGAAGGGGATCTCGGTTCACCGCGAGCGCGAGGGGGTGTGGCTGGCGGGGGGCGGAGGGAAGACCGCGGCGCGGGGGGTGGAGGAGACGCTCTGCTCGGCAGCGCCGCCGCTGCTCCTCGGCTGCCCGGAAATGAAACCGAAACGGTTACCGGCGTGGGGGGGAGCCCGTTTCGAATGTAAACGCTTGGTCCGAGTCACGTGACGGGCCGCCGAGGAAGAGGGTGGGTTGGTGGGGAGGGGGGGGGGGAGAGGGTGAGAGGGGCGGGGCGGAAGAGCCGGCCCCGGGCGGCACGCGCCGCTCGCCCACCGCTTAACGGCCGGCTCGTGCGCAGCCGCAAGGGGCAAGGGGCGGCCGAGCCCGGCAGCTGCGGCGCTCCTGAGTGACTCTCCCGCGGGCCAATCAGAGCTCGGGATGTACCCCGCGGGCGGGCCGGGCCGGGGTGCGGCCTGCGGCAGGCCCTTGCTAAGGGCGGTGGTGTCGTTTGGCTGTAAGGCGGCCAGGTCGGGGAGGGTGGTGTTGAGCCTGTGGGGTGAACGGACGGGGCCGGGAAATGGCGCTTGGGAGCCTTGGTGTTGCCGGGACACAGGGAGTAGGCGGCGGGAATGATGGGGCCGAGAGAGCGTTGGAGCTGCCGGGATGGCTAGGATGAGGCCGCGGCCTGTAGGGTGCTAGCTCAGGTCGCTGAGGGGCGCTGCAATGGATGGCCGCCATGGCAGGAGTAGAAGGCCCAATCACGTAGTGATGTCAGCTTGTGCTATGGTCAGGAGTGAAGAATAAAGTGTGAGTTGCTGTGGTAGTCAATGGGTTCTGCACTAGCATGTGGTCTGGCTGTGTGGCCGAGGCTGCTAAGTGCCTCACAGGATGCCATCATATAAGATGAACAGACCTGTTGACCTGCAAGGCTGATAGGCTCATCCCTCTGCTTCTCCATGTGAGAGTTCAGCTTTGTTCAACAAGATCACCATGTAACACTATTATTTTAACTACAGTTAAAACACTCATGGGCATTTTAACTCCTGAGGTTTCATGACAGCAAAGCATAAGATAACTGCAGGTGTGGTTCACCATAGAGTCTGGTGGTGAGTGTTTTAAAGTGCTGTATCTGTGATGGAGCATTTACAACTGGAAGTATACTGTCACAAAAGCTGCTTGTTCAGCCTGTCGTTAGACCTGCAAAAACATCAACACTATCTCCCTGTGTGTTGTTTTTTTTTTTTCAATCAACTAATACAGAAAAAAAAAAACCAAACCCAACCTACTTCTACCATTACCATCAAAAATCACAGCATATTGCCATGGCTGTGATTTCTCCAAATAAGTGTGTGATGCCCTCCATATGTAAACCATGGGGTGAAATTCCACACCTACTGATGAATTTTCAAAACTCTTGAAATCAGTAAGCCTATGATTTTGTATTCTTTTTTTACATCATGCTTCAAACATTGCAAATGAGTGTTTCTCGGTATGCTGCATTTTACATTTAAGCTAAGAAAGGGTATATGGTATTGTTAGCCACCTGAACTTTTCCTTTCTGTTTATTTTCTTAATGTGTGACAGATTTCAGAGAGTTGCCTGTGGCAATCCCTGTATACTATGCGGTCTTCTGCTTATTTTGATGCTTACTGTATTGCATTCACAGCATTAAAGTAAATTTACTGGTATGACTGCTATGTAGTGTACCTTGAAGGGAAGGTGTTCGATTCTCTTTTCATCAGATGTGGATACGCTTTTAGCAAATTCTTGAGTACAATGAAGGGTCAATTCAATCTAGTGATTCAGATGATGGCCAGCTGTGCTCATAGAACAAGCAGTCATAGGGTTGGCTTGCTTGGGGGTGGCAGAGGAGGACCGAAGAAGGAAAAAATTAAAGATGAGCAATGACCCAAGATTTGTTTATGAATAAAATCACACCAGAGATTTTACAGAGTCTCCATAGAGAAGTTCAGCTTTACACCTCTCTTGTAAAGTCACCTGTCTTGTGATTTGTTCGTTAGAAATACTTTTTAAAAAGTAGAAATTGTACAAATGGTTCAAATCAAAATTTCAGCAGTCTACCAGGAGAAATGCTGCCCAACTCTAAAACAAAGTTAGCTGAAGTTGTTCTGTTTCAGTTTGTTCTGATTTTTCTTTTTGGATTCATCATTTGTCATGATAATTCTCTTGTTAATAAAATTGGTTGCTGTCACACAGGCAGATTATCTCTGAGCAGACAGAATATAAAGGTGTCTAATTTAGCTCTGACTCCCAGTGGTGATTTCACCACTTCCCCTAAGCTAAAAGCTGCTATACTGTATAATCTTCCCTAATGCTTAACTTAAATTTTCCTTGCTTTTGCTTAAATTCAACATTTTTTGTTTTGTCGTGACCAGTGAATGCTCTAATCCTTTTCTACTTAATGAGGAAATTTACATATTTCCAGAGCACACTTTCAAGTTTTTCTGCTGATTTAACTATTAACCTTTCCTCTTATTTTCCGGATTACTTATTGGTTTTGCTATTTTAATTTGAACTATCTTAAGAGTTACCTGTCCATCCCTTCTGAAATGTGTTTGCAAATTAACTAGTTCTTATGTAGACTTAGAGTAAGCTAAGTCCTAGTAAATGTTTATGTATTTCAAATGCATGAGCTAGATCCTAGTAAATGTGTCTGTATTTCAAGTGCAATGACATTATAAAAATACATGTCAGTAATTCCATTAGTGTCTTTAATATTAAAGATAAAATGTTTCTTAATTTAAATGTTAGACTTCGTTTCTTATTTATAATCTTAGTGTTCAGTCATACTGTGCAGTGGCTGTAGGATTATAGTAAAACCAAAATTCCCCAGCCCTGTACTCCCCCCAGGTTCTTTCATATTCCAAAACAGTCTCAACTCACCTGTTCCAAGTCTTGCTCTGCTTCTGTTTCTTACTCAGATCTACACTACTTCGTGTTTTGCAGACTGATCCGATAACTGGAAGGTATTTGAGGCACTCTGTATTTGGATACCTCATATCACTAAAATAAAAAAAAAAACCCAACACACCATTTTGACTTCTATTCAGTCAAATGCTTCCTTAAATATTTGTAGAGAATATAAGAAAAAGGTCTCCTCCCATCTTTTCCTCATTAGGAAAGTTGAAGGACAGAAAGCTAAGTTAGTTACTTCTGAGGGCATATCATAGTCCTGTATCCTGATCAGCAGCACCAGATTAGCTAATACTGTTTCCCTAGGATTTGTATTTTGAGTATTCCAGTTCTTTTCTTTGTCTGGTGGTCTTCACCAGGAAATGCTAGCTTGGATTCGGTACATTGAAGGAGTTAAACATTTAAAATGTAGCCATCAACACTAGCCTTTCAGAACAATAGCAACAATCAGAGCTTTTGCCCTCCGTGTACTGAATTGCTTATGAATTGATTTGTGAAAGACCCTTCATATAGCCACCGGGGTTAGAGTGACAGGAGCAAGCGAGTATTTTTCCTCACCTGGTGCTATTTACCTGAAGGCTTGGTCAGGGACTACAAATAAGAGTTATTCAGGAAACATTCTTTTTTAAAGATGGTAATCCAATTAACTATTGAAGACTCTCAATAGAATTTTATACAATTCTCCTTATTTACACACCCGTTTTGGCCTTCATCTAAATCTTGCCAAGGTTCACAGAGATTTTAATTCAACTTTTCAAATGTTTTCCTGCTGCATCGCTTCAGACAGGAGCCTTTCCTGGATGACTTCTTTTCCCCTACATCTCAGCATGCCATACAGATGATATTTGGACTTCTGCATTTCTGTCTAAGCCTGGTAGTCCCAATGTATGTATCTCATTTCTGATACTGTATTTGATACTTAGAAAAAAAGATTTTGCTTTTCATCTGAGATACATAGGATTTGAGTTACTTCATTTAGACCAAACAGTTCTGACTGTTGCCTTGTTAGTTTATAGCGGTAGCCAAAAGTTTCAAAAGGTAGGAGGCTGTCACACTAGTTTAAAGGCGGTCAGATGCGTGTTTCTTGTTGGTTTGCAATACAGTCTTGATAAATTGCCTATCTGAAACAGTGATGTTGTAATAACTTGGTCAGCCATGGGAAGAAGCAGTTACAATCAATAGAAATATAAAGATGAAAAACTTAGCCAAGGCTGCTTTATGATTAATCAATAATAGCTCAAGGTTGAATATAACCAAAGTATTGCAGTTTTATTAGCTTGTCCTTAACTAAAGTGATGCCCAGAAATTATATATATCGAAATCAGGATGAAGAACAGCAGGTATTTTCAGAACTTGTGAAGAGAAGCTGAATAAATGAGGAAAGATTTGCAAGTGTTACTGTGTGTGTACAAGAAATCAGATTATGCTGTGCCTGTTCATTCAGTTCTTTGAAAAGTTAATGTGAACTATATCTGGGAGCCCTGATAAAATACACAAAAAGGTAGTGTTCACATGGAGAGGCAATGAAAGTACAACCATTACACAAGGACAAAACCAAATACTGTTAAATGATTGAAACTAAAAATCCTTCATTACATGTATTGGGCTGGTGGGTAATCTTTGATCTTGTAAAAAGAAGATCCAACTAATCTCTGTGGTTTATCTGTCAATTACTTAAGTGATACTTGGTTTGACTCGACTGTTGCTTCTGTAAGTCATCAGTCTTCCTCCAAATGTATAGTTTTTTGTGTAGTAAATTCAGAATAGATAAGCATCCAAGGTTCATTTTGTCACAGATTCTACTTCAGTGTAGATATATGTTTCCACTAGTGGTTTTCAGTTTCTACCGTATACTGTGTCTTTGTGACCTGAATGTAGAAGGAAGCCTGAGGGATTTAAATCTACTTTGTGCGTGCAGCGCAGAAGCTTCCCAGTTTCACAGAGAAGAGTCAAAGAAGTAAACACTGACATCTAAACTTCATAACATTATTAAACATTGTAACTTACAAAAATAGAATCTTCTAAAAATATGTATTTTTAAAATAGTGCCTGCCATCACGCTGCAGCTCAGTTTGGTCTTCCAAAAATCAACTATCATTGTCATTCAACTCACCTGTGAAACAATTGTCTTGGAGGGTAATGTTTTTCTTACTTACTCCATGTTATGTTTATGTTATTTGCTGAAATAGTGAGTCTCATTTCAAACTAATAGTTATTTGTGCATTCTTCTAGACCAATATCTGTATATCCTATTGTCAGTCTGCAACTCTCAGTAGCATGTTTACTTTCTTCTTTTTGAATATCAGGAGTGAATTTAAAAACACGCTGTGTAGCATTATGCTGCCTGATTATCTGGTTTCATCCCCCACAGATTTTGAGTTTCTATCCAATTCTCTTGTAACCCCACAAATGTGTTTATTAGTATATTAAGGCTGCATGTTACTTCATCTGCAGAAGTATACTGACATTGTAAACAGTCTGTGTTATAGACACTCATGTTCATATGAGTATAAAAGTATATGTTAGTTTCTTCAGCTAATTCTGGTTTTATTAATCATTAACCAAATCACATTTGAGATGAAAGTGAAGAGTTCTTGGATTAAGTGGGTCTTGAAAATGAATGAATTAAAACAAGAAACAATTACAGAATTCTTGGAGTACAGCTGGTTAGAATGCAGTGCAAGAGAAATGTTCTGTTCTTTTCATGTGGTCAGTATTAATAACTGTAAATGTAGAGATGATCCTGTACAGTATGCATGCTGGATGGCATTGTATGAATCCTATATGGTAATCAATACAGTAGCCCTCATTTCGGTTAAGTGAGTTTTAGTATGAACTCATAGCTCTTAATAGTTTATATCTCTGGAAGCTGTAGACCTTATCTATGGTCTTCATGAGTATATTGATGATGTCTTTGAGAACAGATTGGTGCATTAGGAGTTAACTCACCCGGCTTGGCATTGGTTCATAGATTTAAGAGTCATATCCAAAAGTTAATGTTGTCGAAATAGCTGTGCTGCACTTGAGTGTCCTGAGAGTGAGGGAAGTACAGCCCTCTATTTCAGTGGCCATAACTGGAACCTTAGATGACAATTCAGATGACAGCTGTGCTGTAGACATCTACACTTAGATGAATTTTGCATTATGAGCCTTTACTAACCTGCTCCTATATACTTGTCAAATGGGAGCATTCATCAGCATCAATGCCAAAGATGGAATTTGTGAGTTTATTAGGGCCTACATTTCTAGTCAATCTAGAACATAAAGTAATTTGTACAATAGATAAACATTTCTAGACTACTTCACATCTAATTCTGTCATACAGAAGGCAAGCATATTTTCTAGCACCCATGTTAATCAACTGAACATCAGGTAATGATTGTAGCAGTGCATTCATTTTATTGTTTGTATAAGCAGGCCATAACAATAGGTTTCAGAGAGTGTTTTGTAGGTTGGATTTGTCTCTGGAATGGTTTTAATCAAACTTTTTTTTTCCTGTCATTTTTTTTGATACTTTATAGTTTTCAGTAACTGCTTTGAATCAAGTCCATAGGTACGTATAGCATGCCAAAAATAGATTATTCTCAAGCCTCGATTACAATTACCACTTTGGATTTCTGTATCATTTACTACTTAAGTGGTTTACAAGCAATTACAGACTAAGTCTTCCAAAGTCTCTTGGAAGGAGCATTTCCTGCCCCACTTTACAGAGAGAAAAGTAGCATCAGAGAGGATCAGATCTTGGTCCACAACATTCTGAACACCCACCTCCATGAAGTGCAGGAAGGAGGCTGCTCTGCTGGTAATCTGGCCTTGTAGCCAAGCGAGTGAGGTTTATATAGTTGGAGAAGCAAAAAGAGGCAGAGGAACCTGTATGAGTACATGGAATGGGGAAGGGAATGTATGCAGTAAAGTAGATAGATAGGTACGTGGTTAATCCTCGTTATGGATGGAGAGCTGAAACAGGCTCTGTAGTGCATACAGGTGGCTGTTGTACAAAAGTTGGACAATACCAATTTAAACACTGTTGAACATGAGGGGAGATGAGGGGTGGCCATGACTGAAGATCATGAGGGGAGGCGAGGGGTAGCTGTGAGGGAAGATCATGAGGGGAGAGGATGGTCTGCCATGAGGGAAGATCATGAAGAGAAAGAAGGGGTGGCCATGAGGGAAGATCTTGAGGGGAGAGGAGGGGCAGCCATGAGGGAAGATCTTGAGGGGAGAGGAGGGGCAGCCATGAGGGAAGACGAGGGGCAGCCTTGAGGGAAGATCGTGATGAGAAAGCAGGGCCAGCCATGAGGGAAGATCGTGATGAGAAAGCAGGCCCAGCCATGAGGGGAGATCGTGGGGGGAGAGGAGGGTCAGCCATGAGGTGAGATCATGAGGGGAGAGGAGGGGCAGCCATGAGGGAAGATCATGAGGGGAGAGGAGGGGCAGCCATGAGGGGAGATCATGAGGGGAGAGGAGGGGCAGCCATGAGGGAAGATCGTGATGAGAAAGCAGGGCCAGCCATGAGGGAAGATCGTGGGGGGAGAGGAGGGTCAGCCATGAGGGAAGATCGTGATGAGAAAGCAGGGCCAGCCATGAGGGAAGATCGTGGGGGGAGAGGAGGGTCAGCCATGAGGGGAGATCATGAGGGGAGAGGAGGGTCAGCCATGAGGGAAGATCGTGGGGGGAGAGGAGGGTCAGCCATGAGGGGAGATCATGAGGGGAGAGGAGGGTCAGCCATGAGGGGAGATCATGAGGGGAGAGGAGGGTCAGCCATGAGGGGAGATCATGAGGGGAGAGGAGGGGCAGCCATGAGGGAAGATCGTGATGAGAAGGCAGGGCCA